ATTATAATTGTAATTAAATTGTAAGGATCTCGCAACTTTTGACATTGACTGCAGAATGCAACGAATGATGAGCAACATGGGCTGTACAGACGTAGTTATGAGTTCGTTTCGGTTCTGGCTGTAACAATGAACATTCACCAGACTGCCATTATCACTTTGTATATCATAGACTCAAAAATTATAACTTGTAATTCGTCCGTTTAATTTTTTCCACTAGTTTTGGCAAACAAATAAATTGTTTATCACAAATAAAAAACAAAAGGACTGAATTACTTCTTATCTTTCAAGAATCTCTACAACATTCCCTCCATCAAACAAATTTTCATTCCAATATTCTGAGATTATTAATTTCTACTGTCATGTATCTAATCATGACAGCCGAATATCAAAAAGCCAATTTTATATTTATATTACAATTGTATAAGAAAGTGCGATTTTAGGCTTTTCTTTTCTATCTTGATCTCGCGCTGGAATACTATATTAATACAAACGAAAAACAAGGCCGTATGCAGCTTTCATATTAGGGCGGGGGGAGGTCAATACTGAATAAAGAAAAATGTAAGGTTAGTAAATGATTTCAAACTGTACAATATTATACTATGTACCTTATTGTTATTGTAATTTATAAATATTTTTATGTGAAGCACATTATATACATAGAACGAAAACTTTTAAACATTATTTTTCATGAAATTTTGGCAAACCTTTTGAATTATATTATGTTTTATCTTCTTTTAAATTATTTAGGACAAAAATGCAGTGATCGGTATTATCCTACCCTATCATGAGAGGAGTAGGACAGAACGTCTTTTATCTCTTATCACTACAACACTGTGGGGAAAATATCGGAGTACTTCGAAGTTATTTCATTTCCCACATAAATTCGAGTGTATTTCATTTATGAATGACTAATTCAAGCTTGAATTTTCATTTGATAATACTCTGAACTCACCTTTGCAAAGTCTACAATCCCGTTAGAACTACTGAGTGGGTGTATATGTAGTACATGGTTTAGAACACTACTAACATAAACTTCGTAAAGTTGTTTCAATGTAATTTCAATAGTATCATAACCTCTCGAACTTCATAAACAGTTCTTATTTGCATTGAGTATGTTGGTATAGGCTGCTACAAGAATATGGCCCCGCCGTTATGCAGATCGGACAAGCTAACTGGAGTATACGGCGGTGAATAATTTGACACCTGGATCGTTAAGACGAATGTTAGAACATCGCTACAGTCGAGATCTCCTTATTGATGGTCCAGTCCTGATGTTAATGCTGTTATGATTTAAAGCTCAGTGAGAGGGTTCGACGACCTTTAACACTTAGAAGTTTATATTTGATTTAATATTTAATTTGTTTGAAATATATCCTGCTAATATTGACAGATCTGCCTTGGGCACAATGGTAACCGATGTATTATGGGCCAGAGATCAAATATAGGGAGAAAAAAGTTGGAATTTTTAGTTGGAGATATACTTTCAGTTCATGTTCATGTACTTGGTTTGTAGATATCCAGTTTTAATCAATGTCTGTTCGTTTTCATTTCAACCCTCATAAGGAGAAACAAAAAAATTTCCTTAGGATTAAGTGAGCACTTCATAACATCCATTTTATGATCCATCTGTCAAGAAGCCACTTCTTTTCATTATATTATATCATAGTTACGGATTTTCTTATTATTTAGAATTACTAACTCACAAATTTGTCCCTTGTTTTATTCCTTATGGAACATATTATATTTTATATCAAACTAATTGGGGTTTTAATTTAATATAATATGCAACTTAAATAAGAATGAAAAAGTCTTATGGAATCTAAATTAATGAAATACCGAAAAGTCTCATTCTTACTAACGTGTTCGATTTAATCCACTGCTCACAAACATCATTTTGTATCATTCATGATAAACTATAAATAATAATTAGACTTCATATTCTAAATCTATCCTTTAATTAAAAAAAAAATAATTGACTTTCATATCGGTATGGTTCTGATCAAATTTCGTTTAGAAAGAATGAAGTCAAGATATATAATTATTTCACTATAATAAAGAGTTGTATTGTGAATTTTATCCAGGAAATACTCATTTTTAAAATAAAATTTCTGTTTCAGATATTAAAATAAGAATCTACTTCTAAGTTTCTAATCCTTATTAACTTTTTAATATTAATTATTCATAGTTAAACATTTGATTGTTATGAGATGAGTAGTAATAGGAACATATAGTGAATATACAAACAGTGGCAGTCAAAGGTATTTCCATTGGCCTATTATTGGCTTTAAATTCAAAGTGGAATGAAATAAGATTACAATTTTAAAAAAAAATAAAAGACATTTATTTAGACAACTAAAAATAAATAGCAATACAAAATAATGAGATAAACTTAATAACTTCATAAATAAATATTAATGAAAAAAGTCTATTTTTAAAAGTATTTGAATAAGTTCATATTTTGATGTGTTTGCATTATTACATAGGTTTTAAGAGAAAACACACTCTGAATCAGTTGAATCCTAATGATGAATTGTTATGAAATCTATTTATTTCTTAATTTTCCGTATTTGAGTGAAAATGACACCAAAACGAGGTGAAATGTCTATCACTATTAGATTTTTTGAATTAAATTCAATGGAAAAATGGTGAGAAATATATGAATACTTAAGTCTGAATTTCTTGATGGTCTGTTATAAATTAAAAGGTAATTCCTGGTCATCTTTTAATTTAATTTACAATTTAAGTTAAGGCAAGAATTCTCTCCAACATTAAATGTAAAAGCAGACTGAGGTAAGACAAGTAGAGAGAAAGAGAAGGGCCCAGGGATAGTTTTTTTGGATCGCCATCAAATATAAATTTACCACTTACATCCTACCTCGTCATTCATAATGTTTTTGACCAGGGGTCCCCATCCCCCACAAGATCGGTGACGCACGAGCCCCCCATCTTTTTCCAAAATATTTTATTGCTATCGTCATAAAGTGTAATTATATAAATTATAAGTCATATAAATTACAGTTTCATTGGTCTATTATATGCTTTTCTCTTGTCAACTGGCTTGACACTTTTCATTTTGAAAATCCATAACGCTCTCGAAATGTGCTCTCCTCTAAAATTAAAAAACTCAAAAAATTTAATAGTGCAACTTGGGCGCAACAAAGAAACCCCTCCTGGGCACCGCTGTTTGTAACAAAAATATTATGTAATGAAATTACATAATTATTATGTAATGTTTGTAAAGTTATCAGCATTTTATTTTAATGTAAATTTAGAAGTTAAAAAATAAAACCTTGTAGGTCCTTCTTTCAGAGCCCATAACCTGCACAGCAGGCCTACAGTCCCAGCTGCCCCACCCTTTTCATGACTTCCCTGAGGTACTGATGTCTTGAATGGAGAGGTATCATTCTTGAAGCAACAAATAATCTATCCACTAATGCTTAGAAAATGGTAGGTTTGGTGGAGAGAATTAACAAGCAGGTAAGAAAGTCTTGTGTAAAAAGAGGCGCTCATCATGATGTTATATATAATAGGATACCCAGGAAGGAACCTTTTGTCATTGTAATAAGTAGAAGAAAAGAGTTTACTAAGGAATATCTTCACAAAGCTAAAGAATTTTCTTAAAATATTGTATGTAGGATTCAGTTAATTTAAAATATACATATATGTTTTTTTTTTGTACCATTTCAAGTAATTTGGGGGGCAATAGGGTATTGTGGAGGATATTTTTCCCCATTATTCATTAATTTAGTTTTAAGAGATTTACTGACTTCATCTTTTCATTTCTGAACTGTGTATCAGCACGAATCCTTAATTTTTTTATGGGATTTAAACCTGGAATACGAGAGGAGTATTATGTTCATTTGAATAATTATATAGCAACCAATATCGTTTGTAGAGAGTTTTGGGCTAAGGAAAATTATCTTGGTAAAATTTGAAAGTTCATTCAATACCCATTTTTGCCTTAAAAGTCTATGAAAGTAACACCAAAAATAAATGAGAACCATTAAGAAAGAATTTTCTTAAAATATTGTATGTAGGATTCAGTTAATTTAAAATATACATATATTTTTTTTTTTTGTACCATTTCAAATAATTTGGAGGGCAATAGGGTATTGTGGAGGATATTTTTCCCCATTATTCATTAATTTAGTTTTAAGATGTTTTACTGACTTTATCTTTTCATTTCTGAACTGTGTATCAGCACGAATCCTTAATTTTTTTATGGGATTTAAACCTGGAATACGAGAGGAGTATTATGTTCATTTGAATAATGATATAGCAACCAATCTCGTTTGTAGAGAGTTTTGGGCTAAGGAAAATTATCTTGGTAAAATTTGAAAGTTCATTCAATACCCATTTTTGCCTTAAAAGTCTATGAAAGTAACACCAAAAATAAATGAGAACCATTAAGAAAAAAAGCTGGACTTGATACAATTCGGAGAATAATAAAAGAAAATGGATTTGAAGTCAGAGTAAATAGAATAAGACCTCTTGTAAATTTAATGAGTTAGAAAAATGGGTCAGATTTTACCAACGACTTAATGAAAATAACATAAGGTTTGTTGGTTGTTTTATAGTAAAGGTGTATAACCTGTTATTTATCAATGCTGTTAATTAAGATTATATAGTTTGTGAATAATAGGAATAAAATTAAATTAAAAAGAAGTGAAATGCACATTGAGTTTAAAGTTATTTAATTTTATTCAAGTTTAGTTATTGAAAGGTTATTCAAAGTTAGCACATTAAGTAAAAAAGAAAGAGAGAGGTGGGAGTGCTATGAGTACATGAGTGGTTCAGAAAATTTTAAAGATTCCTTCTTCAGAGAGATAACATATAATTTTGCAGAAAATGTTTTCATAATTTCTCAAAGTTGATATTGAAGTTGATGATGGTGTTTCTCTTTTGTTTAATTCCCTGAAGCAAAAGGCACAACTCAAAGATATGAACCACTGTCATTCTCTCTCCATACTTCCGAGAAATAGGCAGGTTTTCTATTGTAATTAAGTGAAGGTACTTAAGCCTAAAAAAATAAAATAGGGAAAACAAATTACATAAACTAACAAAATATACAAAATAAAACTATTTAGAAGGTACTTAAAACAATATAAAAAACAAATGAGAAATGAAACAAAATATTTGCCTGTAAAAAGAAAAACTAAATATAACTATACTCCTCTCATAGATGAGTATCAAGTCTCCGATAAGTAAAATAAAATATACCTGTTATTTTTATTTAACCTGTTATTTAAATCCATTTTTAAATACATATAAATAGCTGTAGATTCAAGAGGCAAAAAAAAAAAAAAAAAAAAAGAACATGTATATGCTGTAAAATAAACAAAACACTATATGTATATTACTTTAAAGTAAAATAAATTGCTTCAACAGAAGTTTTAAATAGAATTTTTTCCAAAGAAAAAGGTTCCATTTCAAGAAGAAAACAATAATTCCATTTGTCTCAGAAATGGTTGAAAATAAGTTAAATTTTCATTTCAAAAACACAGATGGATCTGCGGGGAGTTTCAGGCTGAAGTTTCCTCTCTAAAAAAATATCTTTAGAGACAACATAAATATGGATTTTTGCTCCTTTAAAAAACAGAAGCAATGAGTTTGTTGAAAAATATAAAATATTATTACTATAGACTGTATTTAAAAAATTAAGTGAAAACAGTTCTGTGCCGCCACATTTAAATAGCCTACCCTTCTAGCCCTAATTCCAATATACCCATAGGTACAAAAATCAATGTGATACAAGCATAAAGTTACAAGATATAATAAAAAACTGAAGCATTGTAAACAATTTAGAATTCTTTGAGAATTGAGGCGAAGGCTTTGTTTTATACCAAGGGAAGAAGCAGGATATCTTGACTGTAAATAACAGCCTTCACACAATCAAATATCTGCACGCATTTAATCCTGAATGCTTATTAACAAAGTTGATTTAATCTCACTCTGCAACACTTAGTACAATGATTAAAGCCGATAAATCAAAATAAGTTGATGTTGAGAACAAATAGATCAATGTACTCACAACTTCAAAAGGAACTTACTTAATTAGGACAGAGATATTAAAAAATAGACTAGCAGCTAGCTTAGATAGAATTAATTCAGGATTTTTTCTACTGTTTTTTTGAAGTGGTTCATATTGTCTATATTTTGCCATAACGCCTTCTTACACAGTACTCCAATCATAAACTATTGTACATATCATACATAAATAAGTGAAAAACATATTTTGAGTACCTTCAGAAATTTTATTTATCTTATTTTTGTTTGCTTCTCTGGGTATACTTGTCAATGTCTTTTGTTCTTCATTGTAAATCATTAATGCTACTTCCATATCAAATGTTGTGATCTTTTTAGTCCTCATACAAACATACTTACTTCTGCCTTAATTTACTTGATTATTTCACTTATTAAAATAAAATAGATGTTTATTTAAATGAGAAATTTATTTAAATTGTTTCTTTATTGTTATTTGACATAGAATACCTGCTATTTATTAGGATGTCTAAATGAAAATATTGTTTAAGTTATCATTGTATGAGTATTTTAAGATTAATAATCCACTATATCAACACAAGGGTAGTTTGTTGATAAAACTGATTATCGCATATTGAATTAAGATTATTTATTGTATTCATTTAATTAATTAGGTATCATTATTTATTATTACAAAATAAAAATGGAAACTTTAGGATTAAAATAATTAAATATAACCTATGTTGTTTTAACAAACGTTTTGTTATAAAAAAGAAACAATATTTGTATTAACATAAATAAATGTCAATGTAATTAAATTCTCTTTTTTTGTTTTTTAGGGGTTTAACATCTTCATTTATACAAATTTGGCAAGAAGGATGGGTTATTCAACAGGTCACCAATTTATTTCAGCATATGTAGGATCTACTACAAAGTAAATATCAACCTGCCTAGAATGGATTCAAACCAGCATTGTCTCTAATTCAAGGTTGTTAAGGTGATGTTTATTCATTCTCAGGTACAAGACATGACACATCAGATATTTGAAAACAGCTGATTATTAGCTGTTAAAGCTGATGGTTAAAGACAGCCAGTACTAAAATGTTACTATATTATTCTAATCAAATTGATTCAGTACCATATATTTAACAGTGCTGATAGTTATTTAAATTATGGAACTAGTGGGCAAAAAACTGACTATTTACATTTATAGCATCAAGCTAATAATTGTTTTAGAACTTCAAATGTATCGAGGAAGAAACATTTGTAGTTATCTTAATTATTCCCTTTTCTCTATAAAAAATTATTTTATAAAACATAGATACTACCTATCCTCTATACGCCATGCCAATGTGCCTTGAGCCACACAGTTTAGGAGCCGATCTAGATATTAAAATATGTTATGAACTATCTAATTCTATTACTTAATGTTCTTTGTAATTAATAATATTCTATTATAAAATATTATAATAGAAGATAAACAAAAATGAACAAATCTGTTTTTGTCAAAATTGGATGTCTTTTTGATTCTGAACTAGATCGCTATGACTGATACATGGGTGACATAGAAACTATTGATAATTTTATACCAAAAATAGTAGGAAAACCTGATTCAGTTACAGCAGAAGATGGCAATGGAATTCTTTTGGATCTGCTTCAGAAAGATTTTCTAGATAATAAGATAGATCACAAGCAGCAGGAAATAGTGACCAAATAGATGGAAAACAAACCTGCGGATTTCATCCTCATTAACTAAAAATGAAAACTTTCTTCCAGAAATTTCAAAAGCTTAAATGCCTTCCTAGCATTCTTTTAGTTTGTTTTTTTCATATTTGTAGTTCTGTAGTAATTGTAGGTTTTTTCTTTTTAAGTTTGTTATTATCCATTTTTCCATTAAAAAATAAAATAAAACAACTTGAAAAGCCCATTATTAAAACTTTTCTTCATTACCATTTTCAAAACCATTCTCCATTATGATTATCAAAACCATTGTTCATTACCATTATTATTATTCAGTGATCAAGCTATCTCGGAAGCAGTTAAGAAGGCTTTACCACGTCCTGCAGAAGTAAGAACTTTTGCTGCTCTGCAAATATTTCTTTTACCTTTAATTTAATTAATTTAATCTTTTAACTATGTAAAATTGTTTATTAACCCTAGAACAGCCTACTGGGGTACATACTCCACAACATTTTAAATATTAATTTCTTCCATTACATCCACACTCTTTTTTAAATATTAATTTACTTTTATATAAGCTGCTCTTTGGCCAAGTTGTTTCATGTAAATAAACATCATACATAGTCAGGCTAATTACAGTCATTAGCGTTCCTTTGTTGGGATTATATCATTATTGGGAGTTATCAAAAATCATTATGGGGTATCCCACATCCCAGTGTGTTGTTTAGGTGACTCTCCTGGACGCCTCACACCACTCTTTTTTCTTTTGAAACTTTGATTCAATTTTGGAACTTTGGATAATTCAGACATTAAATTGCAATATATTTGTTAATTAGTGGCGTTTTCAATTCTGACATTAACTTTTACTATGGCAACTATTAAAAAAAAAATGTATTCTCCAGAAGAAATCCATAAATGGTTGTGGGAGTTACCAGATAAAGAAAAGAAGCAATGAATACATTATTTATAATATGCTTTATGCTTTATTTGGAGATGGCACAGTAACTTTTGATGAAATGTGTCATGTATAGAAAACAGCAAGAAAAACAAGCAGGTTGTCTCTCTGATTTTTATTTCGAATGTTGAACAGCATAATATTGTTCAACATTCGAACAGAATGATATAAACAGCATGATATTGTTCAGTTTAGTTAAATGGTGAAAGAGGATGAAATGGAGAAATTATTTATTTGGATTGGGCCATTTGTTACTTGAGCCCTGTTTGGAAAGAAGACTGCAAGTGGAGACACTCAAACGAACAGTGAGTTTCAACATAAAATAAATTTTTAGCATTAAAAAATTAACAATTACTGTTGAAAAAATAAACAAAATATTCATTTTGCACGAGAGGGAAAGAAAGAAAGATAAAAATGGTTCGTCAGCGATGTGAGAGACCTATATGCAATGAGCGTAGGGCAACAGTTCGCTTGCATTGTCGTGAGTGGGTGGTTACTTAAATGGTCTTCACTATAGGTTTTATTATCTTTTTAAGTAAAAAAAAATTCTTTCTCATTAATTATGTATATTGTATTATATATTATATTACATTACAAATATATATAAATTGATATGCAGTTAATGTATTTTCAATGGAAAAATAATGATTTTTTAGCGATTTAAGTGTTAAATTTTTTACTTTATGTGATCTTATAAATTATATTCTCTAAGGCAACCTTGAATTTATTTATTTTTTGTTTTCCTGATCATTTAGCTAATTTCGGAAAATTATTTGAGTTTTCTAGAGCATGTCGATTAAATTTTATGATAATTTGAAGGTTGGGGTGTACCACATCCAATGTCAGAATGAGTTGACGTATTTAAGTGTGTTGTTCTAGGGTTAAATCTTAATATTTTCTACAAATAGAATTATTACTTCATTATTATTGTAGTTACACCATGGTATGTCCATATTGTCAAAATTAGGCCACTTTGGGGTGGACTATTTCTAAATTGAAAATATTTCTAACTAAAAATAACTATGAAATCATTATTTAAAAATAACGTTTTCAATTCCTTACCTTATTAATTAATTGACGGATTATCAGATATATATTTAAAAAATTGTTGATATTTTATTATTACAGATGTTATACATTTTCATTTTTTTTTTTTTTTATATTTAATGACAGGGGAAAATAATACACTTATTACAAGGAACTTTTATTAAAAACCAAAGAAATAATAAAATCCAGCAATATCGATAATAATACTCCACATATAAAAGTAGATAGTGGATATAATAGATGGATTCTATTGAATCTCTTAATCAAGCCACATCTATCACAATTTAAATTCACTGAGCTTTAGTTAATATTATCTAGCCTATAGAATACATTTATATTATATTTAATAAAAGGAAAAAAAATTCTAAAATTAAATAAGCGTATTCTAAATACTGATTTGTTTTAGAAATTAAAATTTAAAAAAATAGACAAACGTATATATAACATTGAATATGGACAGAGTAAATTCTCTCTTATTCAGTGTCCTGTAAAATGTTATTTATGAGCCAATTATGGGAAAAAATCATATAATATATTTTCAAATTTGTTGTTAAAAAACTAATATATAACATGTGTATTTAAAAACAACATAAAACTCATCAGCATATAACAAAATATAAAAATGTCATTAGTTCATCAATAATTAATACTATATTGAATAAAAATGTTTAAAACATGTGAATTATCAAATTAAGGGTAAACTTATACTTATTTAAATTACAGAAAAAAGTAGTAAGGTTTTCCCTAACTTTCAACACTGAATGCAGCAAGAAACAATGTTGTCTTGGCGAAACAAAAGAAAATATCTGATTGTGTGTAATTTAGGGATGGTCGTATTTTGTAAAATAATGGAGTTAGTAATCATTTAATGACACTTTGTCTTAATCCATTGTGTGTTAATAATGTGTGATTATGGTAACATTAAATAGGGGAAATTTACTGAATAAGTTATTACGTAAAAAATGAAATTAATACACTTAAATATTTTGGAAGTATATAATTTTATAATTTGAAAGTTTATGAATTTAATAATCCTCACATCATTAGTACGACATATTCATTAGTTAATGTGATTAACCTTTTCCATTATACAATAAGAGAATAAATGGGGCATTACATCACATCAACAAATTATATTATAATCACAAGGATATATCTATATTTAATAGGATGAAAAATGATCTATCTTACAAAATTTAATAAACTAATTGTTCTTAATAGCAGCAATATTTTTTGATAATATAGCTTTCGGGCCATATTTGAGAAGTAAGAAATTATCCATCAAGCATTATTTAAATAAATATTGACTAGCAATGAAATAAGTAATTTCAAATAAAATATCTTCAAGTAAATGGTAAAATTCGTTTTGTAAATTGTTGAATCTTCCTTACTAATGTTGTATTTTTTTTTATTTATTTATTTAAGCTTGACATTTTCATTTCTTTCTTTTCTGTATTAACAATCGTTACCCATTTCTGCAAAAGTTTTACTAGTTGCTTTTTTGATTTATACCCATTGGTCTGCCACATTTTGTTAATAATATAAACTTAGGTAACCTACACCACCATTTAAAACTTCTTTTAGTTTTGGCATCAAAAATGATTAGCAAAATAAAATATGAAGTACTTTAGTTTGAATAAATCTTTCAATAAATTTTATTTATAAAAGGATAGAAAAGACTAAACCACTTGATAAACTTTACATAATTTGTTGTTCATTGGCAAAAAAATAAAATAAAAATATAGGTATAAAAGTTAGACTTTCCTAGAATATGATTTATCCTTTTGAATTGCTTTCACCTTTGTGAAAGGATAAATTTCATTCATATTCTTTTGTTTGCATCCAAGTTACAATTACATAATATTTAGATGATAATCTTACATTAAATCTAATTTATATTATGGAAACTATTTACTACAATTGATTTGAGTACTTAATCTGCTGTATTGAAGCACATAACTTTTGCTCTAATAAAACTAAATATTTATTAACTTAATTTTAAATTTACTTAAATACATCAATATTCTTCATAATGATGTGATTACTGTTCATCATGCAAATAAGGATATAAGGATTTTTTTTTTGTTAGTTTACTTGTTGAAGTGTTATAACACAAAATAGAAATGTGAAGTCCTTACTTCACTTTACTAAAAAAACAAAAAAACAATAACCTTGGTTTGTTTTAAAGGAGCCCATGAAGGATCTAATTTATATAATATATCTATCTATTATATTACAGAAAATGAGATATATATACGTATTTTATTTTTCTTCAAAGTCAATCAAACAAATAATAAACTTGACTCTTCAAATATTTTTGTTAAGTCTAAGAGCAGAATAAAAACTAACTCTTACTTCTACATTTAATGTAGAGGAAGTAGAGGGGAAATAGTGTAAGTTCTAAGTTTGTGCAGTGTAATTCTGGAAGTATCCCCTCAAAATGAGTAAATTCATTTCTTATCCTAAACATCCATTGTTGTATTTTATATCAATCTTAAAGGCTAAAATTATGAGATGTTTCGTTGATCATTATCTCTAAGACTTTAAGTTAAACCAACAGAACAACAATCATTAGGAAGGTACAAATTTAATGAACATCATATTGATGACATTTCTCTCCTCACAACTCTTCTTCATAAAATCTAAATATGACAACTAAGAATGACACCGAGAAAGTTAAAATAAATTTTTAACATTAAATTGTAGGATTTATCCTAAAACACGGTTCAAAAAGTAAGCATAGAAGGAATGATGTTGAGGGTGTATCAAAAGGCGCCCTCTGTTGGGCCTCTCAGGAGGTTCTGGATCGTCTGACATTGGTTGATCTGCTGCTTCCATTATTTGAAGAGTTGTTTGCTGTCCTCCATCTGTTGTATGCTCTGTTGTGTCTGTTTGGTCGACTGTGTCATGATCTTCACCAGAATCTTGAGCATTTTTCTTGTATTCTTCCATCTCAGGGTGTGTTCCTGGGCTTACTGAACTGGTTACATCGGCTTCACCCAAGGCTTCATGAGATTCGAGGGGAACAGTTTCTTCTGTATTATTCTTTACTTCTTCAATAAATGGAGAATTCCCTTTTAAAGAAGGTGGGATAGGTTTGGAACTAAGTGTGCGTTTAATTGCAACCTTTGAACCAGCTTCTTTTATTTCGACTGCAACTTCCATTTGGCCTGGGCCTGAGGTAGGAGTTTCCGTTGATGTTATTTGTGTAACTACAGTTGGTGATTTTGTTGGCAAAGTAGTAGCAATGGTAGTCACTGCTTCTGTTGTTGTAGAAACTTCTTCTGAGACTGTCATTTCTAAAATAGATAATATTATAGTGATAAATAAAATAATAAACATTTATAATAATAATATTCTTATTCAACTTCTAAAATCTTGTAAGTCAAATTCACTTAAAAACTAAAGTCTTATAAATAGCTTTTGCTCGCTCATTTACTTTAATGATTAATTTTTCAACAATACCCTTGATTTTTCAATATATTACAAGAGAAACTAATCAAAATTTTTACTTTTCTTCACTAGAATTATTTTTCTTAAATAAAATTTGTTTTATGGACTCACAAGGTATTAGAAGTTTTTCATCAATGTGTTAATCAAGTTTTTATACCATATTTAAACTTATAAATTTTACTATTAATATTAACGATGTCTTTATTTTCATTTTTAATTTAATTTTGTCAATTTAAAGAGTATAGTTAAAAATAAACAATAAGATAAAATGAGAAAAGGATTAAAAAGAATTTTTTATAAATCCATTGTAGTTTGTTCAGCAGACCATTCTATACAATATAAGAGAATAGAAAACTCAACAATTAAAAGAGAAGATGGACGAATTGATGAGACAAACATTAAAAGTAATTTTTTTTTTTAATTATGAATTTATTATGATGAAAAATTTAGAATATTTTAAAAATTAGGAATTATTTTATTATAAGTGAATGATGTTTGAAAATATATAAAAAAAAAAAATAAATAAAAGTAATGAAATAGAAAATGAACTAACTTTTGGAATTTCCTTAGATAAATTTTCAATTGATCACATTAACATCTTAAGTATATCATGATTTTCGATTAATACACAATGCAGGATCATCATTCCTACACTCGACTCAATCTTTATAGATAAATACTCTAATTTATTACCTTGTGTAGCATTTGGCACTACTGATGTTGGTGTTGTGGCTTCGCTGCCTCTTCTGTGACGTGTCTGTTGGGTTTCCTCTGACGTTTCGAACTGAGTTGCTTCTGTACTACTTTCACAAGCGAGTTGGCGTATCATTTCATCTCGGTTCTAAACAGAAAATAAAAATTAATTATTATAATATAACTCTTATAATAAGTTAAATTAATACAATTTTGAATCAGCATAAAGAGTTAGGTTTCTAAAAATGTATCAATGTTCCCTTGAAAAAAAGAATCAAAAAACAAAACTATTGGAATATGAGCAACTATGAACTTGGAAATGAGATAGGCTTACCTATAATTTAACATAATAAAAATGTAGTAGATTTTTAAAAATATATAGACTTTGACCATTCCATCCTAGTATTGTGAAGCTAGATTTAGTTGTATTATTTTATACTTGGATTCACTCCTTAAATGAGCAGAATGCAAATTTCTCATCTACATGTAAATATTAATGTACAGAAAATTGCACGCAGGAATGCAAGTAAGTGTAGGAATAGGAATCTTAAAGTTTCCTGTTTAATTTTAATAAACTATAAATTAAATAAGAATCAAATTTTCCTGCATTTAGCTTGCACATAATTGTTCTCTCTCTATAGCTAATGCAGCTTTCTTGATGTTCATTAATTTCCCATATGAAAAACAAAAAAATAAATTACATAGGGAACGTATGTATGCAGATAACTTAATATAGGTATTTTGAATAAACTTCTGTTATGTTTTTTATTTGTTTTACAAAAAAATAGTTCTAATTTTATATATATCATGTGTTGTGTAACAAAATGTATGTTATATATTATATGTTGTGATTATGTATTTCAAAAATTTTACTTGAAACTTTACAATAAAAATAAAAATAATCTTTAGTATCATTCAAGGGATATTATACTTGAGAATATCCTGAAGTATAATCATACTTACTGCTTGACCTTTACAAGCTATTCTACGGGTACCCTCTAGACCACAGTCTGAAATTAACTCTACTGCACCTTGTTCTGGTAAAAAGGTAACCGTTAATGAAGGTAGTGATGTCAGCATACATCCATTTTCATTTTGAGCCCATATTGGTACTGAAAAAGGAGAAGTATTATTAAGTGCATATTTATCAATTATACAGTTTTAATTAATATCATCGGTTATTGGAAAAATTCACTAGGGATACTTTTGATCAAAACAAATTATGTGCATGTTGTTTTGATTTCATAATGGAAAATTCATCAACTTATTCAATGATTTATTACTTAGATTTTTTATGTTACTTAATGACACCACAAAACTGGTACTAAGTTATAATTGAAATATTGGCAACACAGACAAAAAGAGAGTAATTTTTGTTTCAATGATGAGCAAGAATGAATTAGGAAAACTTAGCGATTAATTTGTGGGTTCAAACCTTTCAAATGAGTAGGCAGACTTATGTTATATGAATGATGACAAAAATCTTTCTGTATTCTCTTCTGGAATGAGACTTAAGTTTGTTTTTAGTTCTGATTAAATTTGGAAAGTGGTTAAGTCAAATCAGACTGAACAATTTAGTTCTCGACAAACTTTGAAGCAAGTGACTGCAATATTCATGTCTTAGTAATTAACTTTGATCTAGTTAGCTGAAGGAATAGTTCAGACTCCTGATTTGTGGATATTACTGAATCTTTGGTTGAACTAGATTGTTCACTGTCACCAAGTTAGCTAATCCGTGTAAAAATAAAATTATTTATTAATCACAAAATATTTTAAATTTAATTATGGGACATTATTCTGCATCATGCGTTTATTTTCTATTTGAACAGATGAATATGTATAAGATGATTGTATAATTAAATTTATTATACAAATCATTGGTGATTTTAATGATTCATAAAAAAAATTATATATACATTATGAATTTTTGAATTACGAATTAATTATAAATACATAATCATTAAAAAAACTAATTTAAATTAACTTTACCATATAACTCACCAGCATTATGTATATAGAAAAAATAAACCTTAGTGTCCGAAACTTATATCAAAATCTTTATCTAAAGTTTGGATGAGTTATTATTAATGAAATATTTAACTATTCTGCGACCACAAATTAAAACATCCTGAATTTTCCATTCTATTCCAGTACCCTCATGCTGTTCTTCAGCATTAATTGCTATTAATTTTTAGTTTCAATATATTTATGTAATTAATATTTTTTTTAATTTAAGAAATAAATGTGAAATAATTTTTAATTTTGTAATCCATACTATCCCAAAATTTGCTTGTTTGAAAAGATTTATTATTAATAAATTAAGATTACTCTTCATGACTATTACATCATATATTTAAAAAAAAAAGAAAAAAAAAGGCACCGGCGAGATTCGAACTCGCGATCTCCTGTTTACTAGACAGGCGCTTTAACCAACTAAGCCACGGCGCCGGTACATCCTGGACTCGCCTTTTGTTTGTATCTGAGTTTTGTGCTTTATTTATTTTTTATAGAAATAAAAAGTGCCTTTAAAGTTTTATTTTATGATTTGTACTTTTCTATTGTTTTCAAATGGTACAACTCACTGATTAATTTTTTCATTTCGGGGCGTTTTTAATTTTCATAAATAGTGGCGGATCCAAAGAAATTCTAACGGGAGGAGGCGCACATGTGAATCAAGTGAAAAAGGTTCTCAGCCTCGCTTCTAAGGCTTTATTTTTTAAGTTTACATTGAAATAAAATGTAGATATTTTACATAAATAATGATTATGAAATTTCTTTATATAATATATTTTTTTTTGTACATATACATTATAAATATAAGCTAGGATTTCAGTGGTAAATTTAATATTAGACTGGGGCCTAGAAAAAGCATCTCTGGGTTCCTTGGTTTCTCTCCATGGCCCTTAGCTACAATATTTTAATTTTCTTAGTCCAAAATATTAATTGATTTTTTAAGACCATTTTTCCTAGCCTAGTTTTCTAGAAATATTCTTTTAAAAATATCATTTTCAGGCGCACAATAAATTTCACATACGTCATAAATTTCACATGTATCTGATGATTTTTTCCAAAATTATTATATCTATGATGAACTAACCGAATTTGTCGTTTATTGTACCCATGATTATGATGATTTATGATTCATCATTTTATTAATTGTGCGATCTCAAAAATAAGATCTAGTGTATTTTTTATTTAAATTAAGCTCACCACTTACAGCTTTCCTGACAATAAGGCTTTTTAAATCCGTTCCAATAAAAAAAAAAAGAAAAAATTACATTAATAAGTGGCGTCTTATGAAAGACGGGCATCTGCCATTTTCAGAAAGCGGAGAATAAGTAAATTTTTATTTTATAAATTCGACTCAAACTATTGAATCAAACTATTCTAGTGATTTTATTTGAGAATGTTCAAGTTGAATTATGAAAACCAAATCATTAGAATCGGGTAAAATTGAAGCTTTGTTAGAAAAATTGGGTTTTTCTCTATTTTTCAAAAATAACAGACGTCCGTCATTGATATGAAGCTACTCACATAGTTGCTATACGTTCTTCCGCTGTTTATTTTCGCTAGAACGATTACTCTTATGGTTAATTAAAAGAATTACTGTAAATCAAGATTTCAAAAGATTGGATCACTACAAAATGTTTTCTTCGATTTTTCAACTGATTTTTTATTTATATCAATGCATCTAGGAATAGATGTATTAATAATTATAATTTTAAATGGAACAAGTTTTTAACAATGCATTTATTAAAATAATAGCAGAATGCAATATAATACAAAAGATTTGGTTTCAATAATTGGTTAATTTTTTATTTTTTTCTAACTATCCAAAAAGTTTATTAAATTAAATTACATATATATGTATTAAAGTACAAATATATACAAATAACAAAGTCCTTCCACTGCAATTAAAAAAAAAATGGTATAATTTTGACACAATGCATTTTAAATTAAAATTTTCAATTCATTACATGAGAATAGAGTTAAGATTTATGAAAAAATTGAATGATTTTTCTTTATCATTTTCACTGCCTGTGTCATAATGTTGTCTATGCGCCATTCATATCTACAGCTTTAACAAATTGTTTTATAAGCCCAAGTTTATTATGAATGATTTTTTCTCGACTGATCAACGATTTTAGCTTTTCCTACAGAGTCTGGATCATTCTCAATGACCTTGTACTTACTTCTCCAACGTTTATTTTTTGCACGATTGTATCACACACAAAGAAAGCAGAAATATTTAGTCTATCCGCTTTACTGATCCAATAAAAAAAAATTCAGAATTTTTAAATCTGCACAGATAATGGCCACTAATGTTGATGGAATTAAATTTAATATAATCAAATAGATTATAATCATCATTTGTTTATGCTATAACGATATCTTGCTTTCTTAAAAGCCTCATACAACATGATATGCTGGTTGATCCATGGTTGATGATCCTTTAATAGGTAAGTCATGGCTGTCTGCTTAAACTGATATTTTATGTGTAGGTATGTAATACTGGATTAATAATAATAGTAATAATAAAAGGCTTAGCGAACCCGAAGGTTCGATGACGACACAAGCAATCGCTTATTACACACCTCCCTCCACCGTTCGCCGTCCAAACCCAGTCCCTTCAGATCGGCTTTAATGCAATCTTCCCACCTTCGCTCCGGCCTACTCCTCGGACGCTTACCATTCGGCACAGCAAATATTAATCTTTTAGGAATTCTCTCGTTACTAAGCCCCACACTTTACAAGCCCATTTGATTCGCCGCGATGAAATTACCTCACTTATATTACCCGGATACAGCTCACGCAATTCGGCGTTGTGTAACCGTCTGAACTCTCCGGTTAACTCATACTTCTTCGGTCCGAATATTCTACGCAATATAAGTAAGCGGTCAAGTTTCACATCCATAAAGAACTGTAGGCAAGATAATTGTTTTATAGATTCTAATTTTTAAGTTCCGGGACAAGAGGCGCGAACTAAGTAGTTTTGTCACAGAAAAATAACAAGCATTTCCCGCCTTCAGTCTAACCTTAATCTCTTCTTGAATTTAGTTTTTTCTAGTTACCGTAGAACCTAGATACCTAAACTTATTTACCTGTTCAAACATATTACCATCTATATCGATATCACCAGTAGTATCGCCATTTTTGCAGCTAACCATATATTTTGTTTTATCCACGTTTATTTCGAGTCCTAGTTCTTTACCGGCTTTCATTAACGTTGTCGTATTTAGTTTTATAGTTTCAACGTCTTCGCTTTACAGTACCAGATCGTCAGCATAGCCCAGCACGGATGTTGTCCCGCCCAGATCCAACCCCTTCTCGGTACGCATTACCTCCCTAATGGCATGTTCTAATGCCAAATTGAACAGGACATGCGAAAGGGAATCCCCCTGTTTTAAACCCGACCGAACCTCAAATTTTTCCGACAGAATATTACCGATTCTAACTTTATTGAGTGTTTCCGTCAAGCACATCCTGACTCGATTTACTAGAATACAGTTTCTGGCGGTCAATAGAATCGTAAGCCTTTTTAAAATCTATATACAGCTGGTGAACAATGCCGTTGTCCTCCAATTTTTTCTCTAATATTTGCCGTAAAGAAAATATTTGATTAATAGTCGAACGATTCCGTCTAAATCCGCATTGGTAGTCTCCGATAATTTCCTCAGCGTATTCCGTGATTCGATTGTTTAAGATTAAAGTGAATATTTTATAAAATACCGGAAGGAGTGAAATTCCTCGATAGTTATTACAATCCGTCCTCGGGCCCTTTTTGTGAATCGGAATAAGAATAGATTCTTTCCATTCTTCTGGTAATTTCTCATTCACCCAGATCTTTTTAACCAACCGATGTATTTTAGAAACTCCAGCTTCCCCGCATGCCTTAATTAGTTCAGTAGGAATATTATCGGTTATCGCTGCTTTATAAGATTTTAATTTTCCGATAGCTACTTCAACTTCCTCTTTACTTGGTCCTTCTATTAGCGGTTCAGCACTCTGGTTCTCAGAAGGAGGACACAGATCATAATTTCCCGTATTTAAAATATTGTCAAAGTGGCCCTTAAACTTATTCAATATGTCAACCGGGTCGGTCAGAATATTGTTATTATCATCCCTAATTCCAGACGTTACGGGCTCTACACATTTACGTGACCTGTTTATACCTTTGTACATCTCTCTTACGTTATTTTCGATTCTATTAGTTTCTATTTCAATTGTAATACTGGATTACCTTTATGAATTTTTAAAAACTTTTTTCAATGATGATATGCTTTTTGGAATAAGCAAAATCACTCGTTAATCTTATCTAAACAAGTAACCATTTATTCATACTAACAGAAAAATATTATTATATTATACGGAGAGGGAGACAAGAAATGAAAAGGAAAGATACAAAATTCACAGCTTTATATGGCGACAAAAGAAACACACAAAAAAAAATAGAGAAAAAGAGATAAATTGTACTCTAAATAATAGTATTTAAAATAAGGAAATTGATATAAAAGAAGTAAACATAATATTGTTTATATGAACTATTAAAATGCTGGAAAATAATCTAATGTCAATTATACCAGTTATAATTATGTTAATTGATATTTTTCAATATATATTTATGCTAGTTATATTTATATAGTGGCCCTTTGTCAGCGCGAAGTATTGACCTATCTGGAAGAGACAGCGAGCAACAGGTGAGCAAAAGACTGAAGCCCAGTTACCGGAGGACCTGGCGGGAAGACGAACATGAAAAAGCACTCCGTCTTGTCACAGTTGAAGACCTTTTATTCCCGTCAATTCTTTCATAGCCTAAAAAACTTTTCCCGATGAAGTTCGATGAAGCTTCAACCAGGATTCAATTACGAAACTCCAAGACTGGAAGAGTTATAAGTTTATATCTGATATATTTTCGAGCCAAGCGTAGAACTCAATCAACTTTACGAGTATAAATAAGAAACATATAACTCGTAAGTTACATGTTTCTTATTTATGATTATTCTTCGAACTTGTAAATGACAGAAGGATTATAACATTATTATATATCTTTTCTTATTTTGCATATTCTTTTCAAAATATGAAGACCGATTAAAAAAATTACAAGCCAGATAGTAGAGCATTGAAACGGAAGATTAAGTGATGAAAACTTAAAAATGATTGAACTTGTATATATGGGTGCAAATAAGTAAAGAACTGAAAAGCTAACACGGTTCATAAGGGAAGAACTTCGACAGCCAAAAATTTACTTAAATTGTATGACTTTTTTCGCCTATAATGTCTGAAAATTAATTCTTAGTGAAATATATACCTTATAACAGGTATATACAACATGAATTCATGATCAGACAACATGAAATTCTGCTTCCAAAAATTTCCAAAATAAATTAAATCGAGTGCATATCTCGACTTTACCAAATTTTCCGATGTCCGCCAATTGATTTTAATTTAAAAAAAAAAACTGAAAATAGGTGGATTCCAAGCTTCAGACTCACATATAGTGCAGTATCCCAGTTTTCAATAAAACTGGTAATAATCGTGGTTTTTGGAACGGGGTCCTTGACTGCAACATTATTAAGAGACGTCTAAGGAGTCGACTGATAAATTATAAGGAGGAACACAATTGTCAGGAATTTTAGTCAAAATTTCTTTAATGGATTAGCAGAGCAGCTCTCGTCTCGACTGCCTAACGAAAGCCTTGATGATGACCCACATGTTTGGGTCGAGACGTCGGCTAATATTAAAAAATTTTGACTGAAATTCCTGACAATTTTACTTTATCCTTGTACTTCGTTTGGTATCAAGGAGATGCTGAAAGTGTCTGGATTTAGTAGTGAGAGAGGGTGTGAGAATCACGTTTGGTAGAGAGAAAAGCAAATTATAAGTTCTTCACACTATTAAATTGCGAGACTCAATCGATGTTGTTTAATTTGTATTAAAAATAATTTTTTTTGCTAGAGTACGCCATTCAGAAATTATATGCGATAAATGAAAAAAAAAATCCTTAAGTTTCGAGATTTTTGACTGTTTAAAGTTTCCCTGTGTTAAATCAATGGATTAAGGTCTTTAGAATTTTAACTCCTTATTTAAAATTAGATTGTTATTTATTCAGTTATTATGTTATGATTATCATCATCATCCGTAGCTAGATAATCTGGATCTCTTGGCTGCCTCATTTTATGATTATAATACACAGAGTGTTTCGTAATTGCACGGCATTATTTTAGGTATTTGTTTACTGACACAAAATAAACAAAAAAGCTCATATTAACATATATCTCAAACTAATTTATTAAACAGATATCAAAGGTTAAAGATTTATTATTTATTTACTACATCAAGACTGACTGTACAGAGTTTAACGTGTTCAATACTAAATAACACCTGTTATTTAGGTTTTAATCATCTGATAAACAGATGAACGATAAGCAATGACAGTAGTTGCTCATCTGTTTGTGTAGTTCTGTGTGTATTAGTGTGAGTGAATACCGTGACAGCCGCAGTAACTATCAAGCACCATCCTGATACTATACGAAGAGCCAGAGAAGCATGGGTTCGTCGTGATGAATGTGGCATTAAACAAAACGGAAGCCCATTAGAACAGTTACTCTAAATGTTGTAATAATTATAAATAAATAGTAAGAATAAAGAATAAATCTTTAACCTTTGATATCTGTTAAATAAATGAGTTTGAAATATATGTTAATATTAATAGTGCCGTGCAATTACGAAACACTCTGTATTTAATCGTTGTTACATGTTGTTATTTATATCTCCTTGTAACATTTACTACAGTCTCAAAATATATATTTTTTTATAATCCTGCTAAAAAAATAAGACAATATGTTTATCGACCGAGGACAAAGTTATGTCACGTGCTATTTGTGGTCCCTCTTGTTTACAGAGCTCGATGATCGAGTTTAATGGTTCGATGCCGTCCAATCTTGTTTGTCGAAACTGTTTTATTCTTTATCTCTTGTTTCTTTGCCGCAGGAAAATGTTCCTCATAACTTGTTTTTCTTTCCGTAATCTCAGTCTACTGATTTTAGAAATTTGTCCCAACGTTTATTAGATACAATGAAGTTAATGTTTCATATAAAATCGCTCTTGTATTATTCGGTTACATTCCACGAAATTTTAGATTAAGGGGAACGATACATTTTGAGAATTTTTATTCATTTGTCATAAATTTGATCATACTTTCAATGAGTTTCTATGTCATAGAACGATTAGTTTCTAAGATGTTTACAATTTACTGAATATACTCGTGTTTTATTATTTAGTTATATGCAAGCACCTTTAGAATAACTTATTTGTGTATTTTAAATTTACTATGGATGAATGCTTCTTTCTAATCCTAAATATTGCCTTTTTTTTCCAGTTGCTTATATTCTAAATTAACTATTTTGTACATTAATATATATTTATACAATTTCTAATTTATTTATTAAATTTGAATGTACCCGATAGGGTGATTAGTAATCCTTTCTTTACTAATTTTGAATTATATTTATTCATATTAAATTATTGTAACTTACTTTTTTTCTGTTTTTTTAAACTCAAATTAATGATAGGGAAATTTGTGTATTACATAAGATTATATAAGACAAGACATATTAAATAAAATAAAAATAGTTTATGTACTCTAATTTGATAGGTTACATCTGAAGATAAAAACAAAAACAAATATAAATTATATATACGCTTGATAAATAAAAACAAGTTTGATTACAAAACAGCGCAAGTTTGTAATAAAAAGCTATTAGAAAAATGTAAAAAGTAAAATATTAAGTTGTGATTAAGTTAATCACTTATTTAAATCAATTGTAATCAGATTCGTTTTGTCGATGACACGAAATGAACAGTCTAAATTACAAGATGGGCTTTACAAGTGCATCTTTTACTCCTGGACCTTGGTTTGTATAATTTAAGTTCTTTTTTCTTCCACTCACATTAAATTTTAAAATTTTCAATTTAACCACAAACACCAAAAAAATCCAAGAAAAACGTGAGTAGGAGCTCGTCGCACGGAGTGTGCCACAACTGTTTATTGTTTGTTTATTTAATGAAATTTACAACTGTATACAAATACAACCAGTAAATATGCACAAATTAGAAATAATGACATGAACAGGCTTGAAGAGATACTACCCAGTGGTAGCACTCCTAACTGTTTATTATTTGCAAAATTACTTGGAGTCGTAAGTGTCAAGGATGTGTAAGAAGGTAGCAGAAGGAGAATAAAGGTATCCGTCCTACCGCCGTCAATATTTCCTTGCTAACATCCTATACCAAGTGATTTGAACACGGCGATCTGCCTATATTCTACAGATCCTACAACACAAACGCTTCTTTCAATCCCGTCCCACCAGATCCCGTGCGTCCGACCTCTATCCTCCTCCTCACCGAACAGCTGCGTTTGATAAATCCTTTTTAATACAAGTTGTCTCCCTCTGGAATTCTATACCTTCAGATATTCGACACGCAAAATCGATATCCTCTTTCAAATCTCTCCTCTTCGAACACCTACTCCATTCCCAATCCGATTGATCACGAAATGCACTTAAAAACCTAAGCTGTAAGAATCTCAAAGTACACCCTGATACTCTGATTATTTTGTAATTCATCGATGTTTCGTTCACTTAATTACTTTCTCTGTATATTTTATATTTACACGTATTTAGATCTTTTTGTCATTTATAACTTTATTGTACTCCGAATCAACCTGTAAATATTAAATTGTATTTAATGGACACACCAAAATATTGATATATATTCTGTATTTTTGACTTGTTCTAAAGGGACACTAGTCCCAGAATAATAAAATTATTTTCTTTTCATTTCATTTGGACAATTTTACAGAATGGAAATCAAAGCCGGTGCATTTCGTGCGCTAGGGCACCTGCTGGAAGGATGAATGTGTTGCTATTGATTTCGATAGATCAATTGAGGAATGTATATCGAAAGCGCTTGTTTGTTGTATATAATTATTGAGCTTTCAGGATAATTTCTCTAGTGTCCAGCCTGAAAGCAAACTACTATAAGAAGGACGACTTACCATTCATCTGACATATGAAGGCAGCCACGGTGGGTCCTGAGCAGGGCAGGGGTTGCCACCTGAAGTCGGCAGAGGGGTCCGTGGCAGCGCAGAGGGCTTCCTCCATCTTGGGCACTTCCACCGCCCACCGTCCTTCCGGCTCGCTCATCTCCTTCGACTCCCTGTGGGTGGCAAAAAGTATTTAATAAATTAATCTATATCAAAGCAAAGAAATATATAAGGACGTTACTCCGGATTATTGAACATTATATTATAGTAGATATGAGATCTAAAAGCCGTCGAGAACATTAATTTGCACCGCCTTTGAGTCTCTAAGGGCTAAAGTGTTGAGGGAAACCGATCTCTATATCCTCAAAGAGAATTATCTCCTTCAGCAAGTCAGGTCCAGAATATTTTAATCTCGCAAGAAGAGGACTCGCTTGAGACAGTCTAATAGAACGAGGAAGAGGGGTAGAAAAAAATAGGAACTCTTGAATACCTATGCAGCGTGCACAAGTAACTATGTGTTATTCACATAATTACAATTAATTAATACACGCTTATTACAACTAATTAATTTTATTCAGTCATGTGTTACATACTGATACTACAAATGCCCTTTTGTTTAAAAGGCAGGCAGTAAATAATCTATTTCATTCTCTGTTTTCCTTATACATTTTTTCATTAATTTTTTATTTACTTTTCTTTTGTTTAAATTACTGGAGTGTGCTATGTATTATGTATTTTTTATTGAAAAGAAAACGTCTTTAGGCGCACTTTTTTTCTGGTAGTCTGAGTCGGATACAAAACGCTCATTCGGGTAAAATCGGCTCGGGTCGTGAAGTGTATTTTTATTTGGATTAAATTATCTCAGAACTTAAAATCAGACCTGTATACTGTAATACGAGAAATACTCTGCATACGAGAGAAACGTACAGCATTTCATCATCTTTGTTATGAGCTATTATTCAAATTTTCATCTTAACGCTACCCGTGTTAGAGAGGCAAAAAGGTAAAAACATAGTGTCGAAACCAAACCATAACGATCTTTATCGGACATAAGTGTTAAATTATCTCGAAAACTAAAACTCAGGGCTGCTTAATGTAAGTAAGAGATATTTTTTGCATTTCATCATTTTTGTAATGAGTTATAAATCAAAATTGTATTTTGACGTGACGTCGAGTCAGAGAGTCAGAAAAAGAAAACGATAGTGCCGAAAAAAAATAATAAAAATAACTTTGTACTAAAATAATAGTCCGTGGTACAGACTAATTTTTATTGAATTATTAACATCCGCCTGAAACTTTGTAAATAATTTCATCTTATCCTAACCTACAACGTAATTATCCATTTGCTCTCTACTTGTATCATAGAATAATTTGATCACAAAATCGATAAAAAAAGGCTGTCTACAAAAATATTGGGCTGTTTGTCCTATATAACCTCCTTATTTTGAAAACTAGAGGGTGTAGCCACGCCAAACGCTATCTTTTTTCTCGATTTTGTGATCAAATTATCATACGACCCAAGTAGAAAATAAATTGGTATTTACGAGTTTTTAGTACCTAATTAAATAGACAAAGTTTGCCCTCCTCCAGATTGAAAACGTCCTAATTCCATGAGTTTTCGTAAATAAATTATTTGTAGGTTATGATTAGATGAAACTATTTACGAAGTTTCAGGCGGATATTAAGAATTTATTAAAAAAGGGTCTATACCACGGGCTATAATTTAAAATTTAAATACTATGGAGAATTTAGAATCCGATTTGCGGAAGACAATAAAGGTATTTTATTTTTAATCAGCCATAAAAATAAGAAATTGAATTCAATAGAATTTCGACAAATAGTTTACACCGTTACAGAAGTTATATTAAAAATTACAGAGTGATTAGATACTTAGCAAATATATTTCAATCTAAAGTATTAATCATATATTTTAGTTGTCATAAACCTATTGTATAATTTTTAATGTCTGATCAGAGCAAAGTTTACCATGCACCATGAGATTTTGTTATTTTGTCCTTATATAATGGTAATATTTGTAACCTATCCATTAATCATTGAATGTTTATTGAATTTATTTTAATTGCTGTTCCTTATTTTCTTTTATCGTTTACGCAGTCGTTGCAAATTAAATCATTTTTCTATTCTATTCGCAAGATCTTTAAATTCACTTTATACCACATGAAATATAGCTTATTATTTATGAAAATGCTGGCCGGGGCGATAAATATGAAAGTGTTTCTTGAATTATGCGCCTCTGTGCATAAAGAGATTCCCCCCAGGCAGTCAACTTTATGCCGTTGAGATGGAATTAATATGAGAGAAGATTTAGTGTTATGAGCAACAAATCCCGGAGCAATGTTTATAAACTGTCGAGTCAAGTGAGCCATTATTTCTTGAGGGAGTAGTTTAACTCACATCGTATCGCATTATGCTTCATCTCCTCAAACTGTTTCCAACTTTCCTGATGAATGAAGAGAAGCACGCGAAAGTTTATATTGATAATGTTCGAGATTTGTGCAGGGTGCCTCGTAGAGGGCGATTTTTATGGGAATGATAGGAGACCTCAAGAGCTGTAATTATTTGTTGCAAAGCTTTTATTTCTTGTTTTCCTATAATCTGGCATGCATTATATTAATAATAATAGCCTAAACATACTTTTAATATTTTTTATTTATTCATGAGATTTACAACTGTATAAATTTAAAAAAATACATCCAGTAAATGTGCACGAAGTAATAATACAATCACATGAAAACGCTTGTTAAGAAACTACCACTCTTACAATATATTTACATAAGTAGATTATGGGGCCATCTTATTGTCAGACGCCTCGGAGGGTTATCAGGCATCTTCGAGGAAGCAAGGCTAGAAACAAGAGGGATATGATAGTTCTGAAGTTTATTATGGAAGGATAATTATCTGGGTTGGGCCAAATCGGAAACATGTGGTACGTTAAGGTCGTTATGAATGATTTTATTTGTGTCAAAGCAAGGAGCATTGAGGATTTTACGAAGGATTTTGGATTGTAAGGATTGAATACGAGAGGAATCCGATGGTTTAGTGAATCCACAAAGCTATTTTTTTATATTAAAAAAAAATTATTTTTCATGTAAAGTTTTTATGAACCTGTGTTTTTCATCTAGGTATGAAATATAAGAGAGCGGGGTAGCTCAGTGGTACGGTACTGAGCTTCCAATGCTAAAGGTCCCTGGTTCGAACCCCGGCTCATGGCAGAACAATTATTTGTTCTTTTTCATTGGCCGTGGGACGACCGAGGGTAGATTAAATTTACCAATAAATACTAACCATTGTCAAGAACCTGTTTTTGGTAATAGGAAAACCTATCTTTGCTTCGAATTTAATCCAAATCATTAGCTATTTCTTTTTTAATGAGACTGAAGTGAATGGTTCCATTTTTAAGACCCGTTATATTGAGTATATCTCTTTGCATTTATGAGAGACAGGCCCCCTATGGGTGAGCCCCATCACCTTTACTGATACATTTATTAATTATTGTTACAACAAAACATAAACACAATTTCAATAAGGCCTTAAAATGTAACACAGTTACAGTATTTTTTTTTTTCTTCCTACCCCCCAGGAATTTCTTGATTATAAAATACAATATATATATAAATGTATATATACATAAATTTTCAATTTCTTTTTATTGCCCAAGGGCATTTTAAGGTAAGAGGGCTATGCACGCTGTATGCGTTCTTTGCATCTGTGGCCAGAGGCCTTTTATTATACCACTGGGCGTGGAGTGACCGCCCTGCATTAATTTATTATTTACATTATAGTTAGTGAGTGTGAACTACAAAGTCCAAACCCCTTCCCTCGGCGAGAATATCTACCAAGGGGACTTTACCCTGCCACCTCCCAGGCCTGGGCGGCGGTACTATTTCCTGAAAAAGCGGATTAGCACAGAGCTTCAGCCCATCGAAAAATTTGACGTGCCTTCGGCCTATGAACTCAGGCACCAATGGGAGCTGAAGCTCCTCTCGGATCTTTACATTCTTTGCCCTTTGCAGGGTGGTACCTCTGACTATTCGCCGAAGGATGGAGTTTTGATAACTCTGGAGTTTCTTGAGCGTGGACTAATACAGGTGGCGGAGCAACGGTGCACCATAGAGCAGCGTAGGCCTGATGACCGCCTTGTAGATTTGCAGTTTTAGTCTCAACGAGAGCTGCGCCGACTTTAGCAGGCGGTAGAGCCTATACGCCTTTTGCCGAGCCAGTTTTAGCCTCTGGTTGACGTGACTAGTAAAGGTGAAGTGCCTATCCAGGGTCACGCCTAGGTAAAGGAATGAGGTGGAGATCCGCTGGTCCACTCCAGTTACAGTAAAAGGCGTTAAACACAAAAATAAATTGTTCAAAATATTATATTATTGGGGGTAAGAAAAAAAAATGCAGGAGGAAATATATAAACTAAAAATATATGAAATAGAGCTCTAAGAGATACTGAAATTTTATTATTCCCATTTTTCGAGGAGGATGTCAGGTATTGGTACACATTCAGCTATAGGTGCTTTTTCCCTAATACCCAACCGTCAGTTCGGGTTTCGCACATTCCATTCAACATCACATCAAAGAAAAAAAAGAACATTATATATATATATATATATATATATATATATATATTCTTTTTTTTTATATGTGTGTGTATATGTATACATATATTTGCATTGATAAAACATAATTTATAAATCGTTTTAGGATAGTTAATAGTTTTGGAATTTAATGAAAGATTTTGTTGTCTGAAATTATTATTTTATATCGCATCTAGTCTTACCTTCAAGTCATATTCAACTTACTTATTTTAACGTACCTATATTAAGTAGTTTAAAAAAAAAAGTATCATTATGGGGAATTAATTACATAATATTATTGTATTAATTTAAAAGCTATATAAATACGTTTAAAAAAGAAATAATAAATATTTAGCTACATTCCAGATTCTGAACCCACAAAGGCAAGCTGCCAGTGGGCGGCGATTCCAGCGAACACTGGGGCACTATGTCAATCAGAAGCCGAATGGCATCATTTGATTGATTGATTCTTGCCCAAGTCGAGACAATTACCAACAGCTCTATCAACGTCAATCAATTAACATTTTAATTCTTTATCCATCATGTATGCCTCTTTCACTCAACTAAGCGGTATCAAAACATTTCGTGTAGAAAAAAATAACAACGTTTAAAATGATCCAATAATTAGTGTTGTTAAATATTTCGTTTCTTTGGATATAGTTCATTATTGATTAGAGAAGGACATTTAATTTTGCTTTCTTGACAATGAATGAGTAAGGAAGGAGTGGTCAGCACTACGCTCTTATCATCGAAGCTCATTCGGCCTGAGTCGGCTCTTTAAAACGGGTCTCGTTAGTTATTGTATATCTCTTCAACAGCTGAGAGATATACTCATAACGATGCAATCCCTAAATTTTCATAAAATATCTGTGTTTCTAAGGTAAATGGCAACATGTCTATGTTATAATTAAATAATTTAGTAACTAATAACCAAATTTTAATAGATCAAAGTTAAGGAAAGTTGGCTCCATTGAACAAACAATAATGTGACATCGTGTCCTTTATCTCTGGGGTACAGATATAACATTTAAAATATCTCATTCGAAGGTACAAGTTTTAACTATAAATATATTACTTCATCATTATGTTATAAATTGAAAAAACAATCTACAATGCCACGAATCTCTAACATAGAGGGAAATAGTTAACTTGTCAAAGTTTCGCCAATTCAGCCATCATCAGGGCGGAATAGACAAGATCACATATATGGCGAAAGAAAAATCAAAAAGGAATGAGAAAAAAATAATATTGCGGTTGACATCTCATCAAGCCATCGAAATGGGAAAAAAGTACGTTCAATTAAAACGCAGTAATACAAATCATGTCAAATAAAATGAATAAATAAATTTTAAAAACAATAAATTAATAAAAGAAGCTCAAAGGTATATTTAAAATCCATTCCATGTTATATTACATATTATATTGTTCGGTGAACAATTGACAATATAATATAAAAATAAGGTATTGCAATGTATTATGAGATAGAGAAAATAATTGTTTTTTTTCTCAGTCGAACCGCATTATTAGTTCATTCATAATATTAAACCAAAACAAGCGTGGGTCATTCTTATATTATTTGACCGTTTAACATTACTGAATCTAGCTACTCGGGTTAAAAAAAATAACTTTTTTATGTTTTTAACGAATATCGGTGGCGGTCGGGGGTCTCTCGGTTTCGGAGCGGACTCCATCACCTCTCATTCTGAAGCACCTGATAAAATACGGGCATTGGGTTTAAAAATTCTGGAGATTCTTCAGTTGTCTCTAGTGACAATGCTGGTTGAGGCTGAGCTTCTTCAATTGTTTCTTTTGATGATGTACCTGACTGGATTTCATGTTCTCCGGAGCTAACAGGGGTCACTGGAGATGTTTGACGAGATTGACGAGGCTTCTGTTTGACAGGCGAAGAACGAGTTGTCGAGCCTACCGTACGAATTCTCTTAATATACACTCTACTAGACATGACCTGATGGAGATATCGCATAAAAGAAAAGAAAAGAAAAAAAATATATATAATTTATAACTGTATAGAGTAAATACCAGTTGATCTTATGTACCGCTGACCTGCTTTAAATGAATAATCTCAGAGATTAAGCTGAAAACAAGCAAATTCTGAGAGCCGTAAGAAACATAACCTTTCGCATCAGCTGATCCAAGTATTATATATTAAACAAATAAATCAATGTAACCAAAGTCAATAATATATTAGCTATAATGAATCTAAATATTATTGATAAACTGTTATATTTACGGCCAAAGGAATGGTTCGCTAGATTTAGTCCTTTTAAGTCCCGTCCAGACGAAGTTGGTCACGTCCAGTTCTTTGAGGTAGGCCCTCGCTGCGTCGAATTCTTTAGCGCTGTCGACTGAAACACAAATTATATCACTTTAATTAATTTCTAGCAGTAAATATATATTATCTGACAATAAGAAAAGTATTCAATTAAATTAATTTCAGAAATAAAAAAAAAATAAAATGATTTGTCGTTAAGAAAAAAAAAATTAAAAAATACATTAATTTATACATGAGGTAAAATTTGTTGGATATATAGTTGATGATACAAAGGTTTCCAAATGATGTTACACTATTCTGGAATATCACCAAATGTATTATAGAAAATATTGTAAATTTTTTAATTATAATTAATAGTATTAATAATACGATTCAGAAGGCGATGACCGGATTTAATATAGTTATTTATATTTCACATAGATATGAGATGAGCTATTAAATATAAATATTATTAATATAATGTAAAAATTATCCAACAAATATATGTTTTTTATTGGTGGATCTACGAGGGACTTTCAAGTCCACAAAAAAGAAAATTCATTTTTTTTTAATTATTTATCCTAGTTTCTGTGAATAAGATTACTCTGTCAAATTTATTTAGCCTTAGAAGCTAAATAAATCACTACAGGAACTATTTTTGAAGTATAACACATATGCAGGTACTAAAGGTAATCACGTCCTAAAAGTATTATTGTTTGTGTAATTACCGGTATATATATATATATATATATAAATTTGTATTTTTTTTTTTTGTAACAGGCCTTTAAGTATCACTGAAACATCATTTAATGTTGTTAATTTACTTTTCATTCCATTTAAATACCACTATAAAAAATTTAAAAAAAATAAAATGAAATCATGAATCCGATATTAGTGTTATTCAACTATTTTAAATTTTTAACATCGCCACCACACATATTCTGAATAATACTTAAAAATGATTTCTACTGATTATATAGTTGAAGGAATCGCATCTTGCAGGAATTGCATTTGTCTGCATATATATATATATATATATATATATATATATATATATATATATATATATATATATATATATATATATATATGCATATATATATATTATATTCATGAAAGTACGATGACAGCCTGAAAAGGAAAAATTTATAATTGCTGGAATCAGGGGTTGAAAAGAAATTATAGCTTCGATTTTTAATCTGTTTTGGCATGAATGGAATATTTTTTTTCTATTTTTTCTTCTTTATGAAATAGCCAAATAGTGAAAATTTTTGAGTTACGGTTTTTTTTTTCAACCTTTTTATTTTTAAAATCTTTTATTTAAAATTTCTGTTGATTTTGCTAAGAAGTCGTTCTGAATAATGACTTTTATTCTAAGCTATTCAAACAATCGATACATTAGAATAAAGTAATTAATTTTAGATAAATTCTAACTCTGATCTAATGAAAAATAGGACTTTCTTTAACAAGTCTTAAAGCCAAAAATATCAACAACAAAAAAAAAAACAACTGTAATCTAAGACCAAGCTCTACTTATTTATTATTTTAGGTAATTTATTTTAAGAACTTAAATAAATACAACTTAAACTATTATTATAAAACTATAGCTTTATTTCAAAAAAGTTTCTTTTAAAAACGTTTTTCCTAAAAGGTTTTATAGGAATCGTTAAAATAGAACTATTTAAAAAGTTCCATAAAAGTTTTGACCTCTGGTTGCAAATATTAACAACCAACTTTTTCTGTTAATCGGTATTTCAGAAATAAGTCGTTTGTATTTATTCATTGTATCATACTCAATTTTTCACTCATTGGAAGGAAGGTAGAGAGCAGTTTTTGCTTTCTTATATGTCTAAATCATATGTTAATATTATATTCAAATGTTAAAAGTACATTGCAAATGCAATGAAGTACATTATTTGGAACAAATCGTTTGAAGAACTAATTTTTGACAAATCAGACGCGTAAGGTATACGTTACTAGAGATCTTTTATAAACTACATTTTTCAACTTCAGTTTATACTCTACCATGTGCCATAGAATCCCGTAAATAATCCGTCTCTAAATAAACTATCATCTTTTGTAGTTAACATTCCATATTTATGAAGGAATTTGTATTGAATACAAACTGTTTGGATTCCAATTACAAAACTATGTTGGAAACTATGCAGCTATTCTGTCAATATGCTCAGTTATGTTAGCCTGCCGCCACGAGTATTATTACTATAACTCCTTTGTTATCTGAATCCATGCTAAAGTAACTGTTCTCATTACTTAAACAGTTGCAACAATTCTACACAATTTTTAAAAAAAAATAATTGTTTAATGTGGAAATTTATCCCAACATGAGAGCGGTTAATTATGTATATACATATTGGAAGCAAACAAGAGGACATTGAAAGAGAGTCGCTAAAACTCTGATAAGAGAAGCGGAGGAAATCGGCCAAGTAAAGGAAGATAAAACAAAATATATGATAGTAAGCCAAACATATTATTCTAATAACAGAATCTGTGTAGAAATAAAATCGTTATCGATATAAACAAATTAAAATATGTCTGTTCCACAATAAATTCAATGAATGTCCAACTGTCAAAAATAGACGAGCGTATAGAAAGTTAAAAAAGTGTTGCTTTTTTCTGCCTTTCAAAGAAATTGAAATTCCGGAAAAAACTCTATAAATCTCAAATTAAGGATGTAGGGGAGACTGGATACGGTTGTGACAGTTGCCATATTAGCGAAACTATAAGGAATAGCCAATAGTTTATAGGAATGTTGTGCCTCTCTGAACGTATTTAAAAGCATTGCTAACGTATTGTTAGCTCGACATTAACGTTCAAAGAGGCTTTTATTACTAGGCTTTTATAACTATTTTGATCCTATTTCTTTGAACGTTATATTGTGTATATAATTGTTGTTATATACGTACAGATAGAGAAATTAATGTTATATGTTCAACATTAGTTGTTACTTAGCACTAGATACCGTAAGTAGATAATTTTAAGGAAGGAGATGGTCCGGGGTGGGGTTCATAAATAGACTTAAAAGTGGCCAAACTATTTTATTAAAATACAACGTTTCGACCCGACTTTGCAGGTCTTCTTCAGGGAGGTGTGCTCAGCTAGGAGTTCCACTTAGAACCCAGTAAATTCATTAAGTTCTAAATGAAACTCCTACCTGAACGCAACTCCCCGAAGAAGACTTGCAAAGTCGGGTCGGAAGGTTGGCTTATAATAAAATAGTTTTGCCACTATTAAGTCTATTTATGAACCCCACCCCGGACCATCTCCTTCCTTAATAATATAGCGGCAAACTATTAAATATCCAGTAGATAATTTTATATTATATATATATATATATTTATATATATTTTTTTTTTAAGGGATGCGTTTGATATCGTTGTGACATATTTTCTAGGTATGGTTGACACAAGTAATTTTTTTTTGCATCTAAAAATCATCTTTGCCTTTGAATTTTGATGTGCACATTCCAGTTTTTTGGCTCTCGGTGAAGTTGGGCTCTTCTAGTTCATGGATTGGCGCTTCGTTTCAGAATTATAAGTTGATAACCACGATTCTTCAATGTGCATAAAAAAGGGAAAAAAAAGCGACAACGTGCGCGTCTTGAAGTAGCAGACAGAAGAATACTTCCAGCAATGTTTCAGATAATGGAAGATTCTCATGGAGCCTTGTAGGATCAAATGAAGGGTTTTGAACGAAAAAAATCAAAATCAAAATAAAATATTTTATAGTATCAGTTTCTTTATTTTTAATAGCCATACTTCAAATATTCAATAATCTCGGTTTTCAGTTGTGTTATTTATAAATATGTATATTTTTTCATCTCACCGACACCATTTTTATTTACAAGCTACAGAATGTAATGTAAATGATGTTCAAAACTTAAGGTAGTTATAATAGACCTAAAAGTAACAGAAGTGTTAATTTGGGTAATTGTCCAATTTCGAACAGTGAAGTAATAATTTTTTTATTTTTTTATTTCTTAATGATATTTATAACTGTATTAAAGAAATACATTTAATAAATTTGAACATATGGATATAACGACGTGAATACACTTGTTGAGAAACTACCCAATGGTAGCACTCTAATAATATGTCTACATTAGGAGATCACGGAGCCATCTTTTATCTTTTTTTTTTTCAGACACGTCGGAGGGTTATCAGGAATTGAAGAGGAGCAAGGTTAGAAACTAGAGGGTTGGGATGATTCTGAAGTTTATTATGAAAGGATAGGTATCTGAATTGGACCAGATCTGAAACATAAGAAACATTAAGGTCATTATTTGTTGTGTAGATGGTTTTATTTGTAACAAAGTAATGAGCATTGAGGATTTTGGATTGTAAGGATTGGATACGAGTGGAATTCGATGGTTTCGTGGAGTACCACAGTTCAAAAGCAATAAATTTAAATTTTTTTGAATGATTATTACTATTTCCAATCAATCATCACTATTATCACATAAATTATCACTATTCAATTATCACTATTTTCGTTGATAGATGATTGATTGTAGTGAATAATTGAAGGGAAAATGGGTTGGGGCGTTCAGTAAAAAAAATGTAAAAATAAATAAATTATATCTATTTTTACATTTTTTTTTTTATCACCCCAACCAACCCATCTTCTCTTCTATTATTCACTACAGTCAACCATCAATCCACAAACGATCTTGCGGAAATCTGTTGTCTGACCAGCACTGATGAAGACTTTGGGACTAAACGTCGGAAAAAATAAAAATAAATATAATTTTTTTTTACACATTTTTAACTGAACATCCCAAACAATATTCTCGTTGAATAAGAAGTTATAATTAATATGTTAATATTAATATTGACATCTAATTATCAATAAATATATCCCTTCAATAATTATTTGACGAGCAAAAATATGTCTTATTTTTACGTTATTTCGTAAAGCAGTGGAACAATTAAAAAATAAGCAGTTATATTGATTTTCTTAAACCTCATTTTAACTCTGGTAAATTTTAAGAAATATTATAAAAAAATTGTAATAAATGTGCAGCTGGTAAAAGCCGCTGGAGATATATTCGTCTGAGCCGAATGGAAAACTTTATTGCCAGCTGATATAAAGTGCCCCAGGGACTTTAATAAAATGGATCGTGTTCTGGGGATTCGGCAACGGATGTCATAGCGAGGGGGACATCATCCCGGCCGCATCTCTTCCATTCCTATATTTATTTAGTTTTTATGTCCGTTTTATGTTTGAATATTTAGGATTAAATTTGTTTTGTTTTTTCTTTTTATATGTCTTGATATATTGCTGTATGGCAGTTCGTGACCGTCAATATGCCAATAAGGAATTGAGAAAACTTGAACAAAAATCCCGAGAAAGATAAAGAATATCTGAATAAGGAATCTTATTAATTTCCATTACTATTACCCGATTGGTTGTGTTCGGTCAAAAAAATGTAAAAATAAGTAAGTATATTTATTTTTATTTTTGCCGACGTTTCGGCCCAAAGTTCAGGCCTTCATCGGGGTTAAGAAAAGACCAGATAACAATAGGTATGAAAAACTATTACCATTAAAAAATTAAAAAGAAAAATTAATATGTAGGTGAAATGTATAGTCTAAAACATGTAGGTAGAATAATTTTAGACAATAACTTTCATCTACATATTAATTTTTGCTTTTAATCTTTTAATGTTAATAGTTTCTCATACGTATTGTTATCTGGCCTTTTCTTACCCCTGACGAAGACCTGAACTTTGGGCCGAAACGTCGGCAAAAATAAAAATAAATATAGTTAATTATTTCTAAATTTTTCGACTGATTATTCCAACTAATTATTACTATTCCAACTGATAACTTCCCTTCAATTATTCACTATAGCCAACCATCAATCCACTATTATTACCCGACAACGGCTGGAGCGATTTTAGGTTTGATGTTCAGAGAGACTCGTGAATGTTTAAAAACCATTTTTTTTCCAACCACTAACCAATTATTGTATAAAATTTCTTCAGTATGTACATGAAATGGGATATAACAATTTTTTGAGAGAGAGACTGGGCTGATTTTTAAATTTGATGGATTGAATTTGTGAATGTTTTAAAACGATTTGAACTAAGAAAAATGAGAAAATAATTTATTATATTTTAAATAATATAAATGTTTTGTTAGTTTCATATCAGGTGTAAGCTCGTGATTATATGTAATGAAAATTTTGTTATTTCATTATTTATTTAATAACATTTATAACTGTATAAATAATACAACTAGTAAAAATGCACACATTAGAAATAATGACATGAACAGACTTGAAGAGATACTGCCCAGTTGTAGCACTCCCTATTTAATTCTAGGTAAGATGATCACGAGGCCATCTTCTTTTCAGATGCATAGGGGGATTATTAGGAATCTTGGAAGAAGCAAGGCTGGAAATAAGTGGATTCGGATGGGACTGCAGTTATCATGAAAGAATAGGTATCTGGCTCGGGCTAAATCAGCGGTATATGGAACATGGGTACATGGAATGGTTTTATTGGTGACAAAATATGGGGCTTTAAGGATTTTACGAAGGATTTTGGATTGCAAGGATTGGATATGATAGATATTCCATGGTTTGATAGAGACCCAAAGCTCAACTCCGTATGTCCATATAGATCTTATTATGGTTAAGTAGATGAGTCTTTTCTAATTAATTGAAAGTTTAGAGCGTTTGTCAAGTAAATGTTGGAGAAGTCGGAAACGTATGTCATAAAAATAAATTGTAAAAATTAATAAATTATAAAGTTTCTATCAGTATGTATTTTTTTTTACGTTAAATATCTTTAAGTTATTTTATTTTTATTTATTGTATATACATTTTCATTTTTTTTTGGCATCTGATTTATTTTAATTATTTATATTTTTAGTAAATTTGTTGGGAATGTATTACTGCCACATCAATACCATAAAATTAAAACAAAACTATATTTAATAACCTTTACTAATTAGATGTAGAGTAATTAGTTAAGGAAAAAGTCAGGCGATCGAAAATGATCTTGGCCAAATC